CCGGTTAACCCAATGCCCTGACCAACCTGTGAGTGGTTCAGGATGTTTCTCGATATTGTTCCTCTACAGAGAAACGATCAGCAGATAAATGCATTTTCCCTTCAGGCCTTTGCCTACCATTTCAAATTTCATCCTCAGAAAACAGCACACACCTGCTTGGCGAGGAAGGGGTGTGTAGGGACATGGAGGGGACACCCGTTGTTGGGGTGATGTGACTTGCTAGCTGCGTCCCTTGTGTTAGATTTCGGTTTAACTGAGGCGTACTGTTTCCCATGTTCCTGACTGGGAAGCCGATTGCACCTGCAGGACAATAAATCAACAAAATGGCAGGAATAAAGATGAAACATTTGTAAACAAAAGAGAAAACTTTCCAGTTCACATCTTCTTAGTTATAAGCATTCAAAATGTCTTAGGATGGTGTGAAACTTCTGCCCTTCATCAAGAAAGATACAAGAACTCACTTTGTGGACCGTACAAACTCACACCGAGCTGCGACAACTGACTGGACGATGATGGCGAAGGAGAGGACAACATCTGGAAGACAAGAGGCATTAACAACACGGCAAACGTTACAAACAAGATACTTCTGCAGCATTAGGCAGTGTAAGGTACAAAACACTGACACAAAGGTCAAAACTTACATCTTTGTCCGACCTGTGGAACATGGACTGGTTGTAGTACATGTCATCAGCCAAGTCGTTGTCGACTCCGTCGCCGAAATCCGGAAAGGGTTTTCTAGAACCAAACATGCTTTTTTTGTTTTGGTCACCTGAGGAAAAAGACAACTTATATTAAAAATGATAATTAAGGAAACAGATCATTTAAAAAAAAGGGATGAAAAAAAAACAAAGGTAGCATTTGCTGAGATCTAATTATTTTTAATTTAATTTGTCTTTACATTCTTTAACACCAGAAACCCACTGAGTGAGATTTTTTTTTTCCAAATCTAATTAATATCTACAATAAATCTACACTTTTTTAAAAAATCTGATTTAGCTCTTACAAATATTGTAAGAGATCACCAAATAATTATGTGGTTGGAAGTCAAGTAACCATTTTTAAGCAGTTTTAAGTCTTTTGTAGACTAAGGATGGAGACAAATAGATCCAAGTCTCGACGACATTAAAAACCAGGGCTGAAACAAGATGCTGAGTGTGTCATATATTTTACCTTCGAGTGGCCATTTTGTTGCTGTTGGCAGGTGTATAGATTATTAATTTATCTGTTTTATGCAATGCATAATAGAGCTATTTACACCTAATATTTAATCACAGGAGGGCACTTTTTCCCACTACATTTACTTTAGTAAAAATGCACAAAACTGACTTCAGCGTTCACTGATAGATGCTGCCGAGTAACATTTCATGCTGTTTGAAGAGGCTCGGTTATTAAATTATTGAGCTAATTAAAATAGATTGGTTATCAGTGGAGATAAAAACAAAGAATAAACATCAAAGTAAAAATGTTGACCAAATTGCCTAACAGCGTTAAACTGGGGAATGAATTTCTGTCTGTAATTTTCACAATGTGCACAACTTGACCCACAGTCTGAGGGAATTACAGAACCGCTGATGGTGGTAAAGAACCACTGCTGCTCTTTGCTCCTCGTCTCGTTTCAAGACATTTTATCTAAATGAGAAATGACAAAAAGACTATTTTTCTTGTTCCATCCTATCCATGATGCCTTGTATTTTGTTTGTTATTGAGCTTTTCGACAACCACATCTTTTTTTTTAGGACAGTATAGCAAAAGCGGTTATTTTCTGAGCCGGACAACTACATGTGCAAATAAAAACTGCAAGATTTTCAGAATGTCTCAGAAATGATTCAAGAACAAGCAAAAACTTTAAAATAAGTCAGGTTCACTCTAAACAACTTGCTCAGCTGGTTGTATTACACTGCTGGTGTGCCCTGTTTATAACTTTACGAGCCATTTCCCATGTTGTATCTGCAACATAAAGAATCTAAAGCAGGGATGGTTGTTTTCTCTCAGACTATTAAAATGTTCAAGTTTGACCTTTTTTATTAGCTGCTATATATTTTTGGCTTTTCGTGTAAATAATTAGTACATTTTATCCTTTAATCTATTATAAATATCACATTTACCAACCATTTATGTACTTTGAATCACTTTTTTTTCTGACTTTACTTTAGCAATTACACACCAACATAAAGGATAAGGAGCCAACATAAAGGATAAGGACGTGCTTTGACACAAAAAGTGCCTTGTAATTATTTCACTTTCTGTTAGATGCAGAACTACCACCTCAAACAAATAATCTTATTTCAACATTGACTGCATCCTGTCCCTGTGGGAGTGTTATCCCTGTCTCCAAGGGTAAACAATTATATTCTGACAACATATTTTCCCAAACCCTGGTTACATCATTTGTGTAGTAAAGCAGTTGTGTTATAGCCCGTCTATAACATCACTCACCACCTGTCTGATTGAAAAGAAACTAATTGAAACCGAGGATCGGGAGTTATTAACTGTTCGTTTGGTGAGGATGTTTTAACATTTACTTGAACATGCTGATCACACACGAAGAGGAGTGTTTTAGAAGAGTGTTCAACTGAGTTATGAACTTCCATCAGTAATCTCAAAGTATGTGCTAGAGCAGAGTTTACCTTCCAAAGCAAGAACATGCTTGATGATAAGTGTCTAAATACACAATGTACATGATAGCCCCACTGGCTGTTAATTTCTGACTGTGTATCCATCATTAGAGCGTCTCAGTCACAGATTATCACTTAAACACAGCAGCAAAGCTAAGTTAACTGGCTAGCCAACACTATTGCTAAGTGGTTATCGTTAGCATGCTAAGTTGGCATATCGCTAGCTCACGAATGACCCAGTGCAAAAACCAAAGAAAGGTGACAACCGCTGAATTACAAAACACTACAACTGAGCGACCCAATGACAGGCAATGCCGAGCTGGACTCGGTCATATCTGCACTCACATATCCACATTCAGCGGCCAATTTCCTCGGCTAACTTAGCGCTCCGTTTGGAAGTAGCTGCAGCTGTAGCAGCAACATTCTGCTGGTGCTAAAGGTTAACGACCCGCTGAGTCTCGATAAGGAGGGGAGGCAAGCAGACACAAGGGGCCTACTGGACTATAATACCGGGACCGACCCCCATTTGACGGGGGATATAAGAAGGAAAAATCCGCTCACCGCATTAATTTCACTTCGCTTCGTTAGATCCAAGATGGCTGTGTGTAGCGCCAGCCGAAAGAGCCTTTACTCTCTGACCTCGCGACCTGCAGACCACTTCCGTACACAAAGCTGAACTCCTCTGTAAACACTGCACTTCCAAAACGAGTGAAATATTCGCCTCCTAATAAAAACGCAAAGATTTCTGAAACACGTGCCAGATGGCATTGATGCACATTTTCCTGGGAACATTATTTTGTAATATCAGTATGAAGAAGTTGCTCCTCAGACTTGATAATGCAGCAGAATCAATGAGGCCATTTCAGAATACTTGATTATAAATAAAAAAATTTCCATAATGAATCCCACTGAAGTAAATAAATGGATAATTTATTTTTATTTTAACGTCACTTAAATTTTAAGGAACATTTTACACGATTATCGCTGGTATAACTTTAACTTTATTCTCAGCTCATCAGCAAATCATATTAAAATGTATCAAACATTGGGAGAAAATTTTTTAAAAAGCATCAATTCAATTTTTACCTATGAGCTAATCGGTTTAAAAACCATTGGTTTTTGTTATAGATTTTTAAGGGTTTTATTGGCTCAAGTGGGCATTATTTGATAGTAAATTGACAGGAAAGTGGATAGGGAGAAAGGGGAAAGGACATGTGGCAAAGGTCATCAGGCCAGGATTTGAACTTGTGATGGCTGCGTCGAGGACTAAGGCCTCCTTATTTGGGTTGTGCTTAACCCCTACTGTGTGTACAAGCACTAGCTTTCTTATAAGATTCGATGAACCTAGCCAGGTTTGCTCAGTATGATGAACAAACCTGTGAACTGTTCATCCCTAAATGGCTTCAGCATGTCCCTCTGGCTACAGAGCTACCTGGTAGTAAAACCTTATAAACTGTACTTTTGTGGCTATAAGCCATCAGAAGTCGACTGAATATTCTCTGCTGCAAGGACTTGATCAGCAACGAGACAAGCATGCATTAATTTCAACACACATTTCTTACCTCAATGTTCGTTTTTATATATAACTTCATCCGCATTGTCTTTAAAAATGACCTTGAAGCATTTCACAATCTTAGCAATGGCTTTGAGCCTTGAAATTTATATTTGATGTGTGAACATTTTTAACTTGTGTTTCCTCCCCGTTGTAAGACATCAACAAATTGTGTGTTATTCCTATCTGAGTTGTACTGCTTTCATTCCGCCTAGCTGGAGGCAGGGAAGCTCTAAAAACAGTCTGTGACTGAGTGAAAGCAGATGAGGGTCAAGTGCTAGCCCTTCTGATAAGGAAAATGAAATTCCTTTCCATTTTATTGTGTTGGAAAATAGCCCCAATGAAAGTATGCAAGATAGCATGGGGCAGATCACACCTCAGGCAGACAGAGATTGACATGCATGAAAACAAGAAGAAGTATTTGACTTCTCTGGGAAAAGAAACAAGAAACTACTGTCCCCTTTGAACTAAATATATACCTAAGCAGAAAATTAAATCAGTCATTATCTTGTTGAAGTAGGAATGCTCAATGTGTGACTGCCAAACTCAGAAAATCCAATAGACGTCTGCGCAACTTGTGACAACTTCAGTTTTTGTGCTCAAGGAAACATTTTTGGAAACTTAAATATTTAGCTCAATTACAGTAAACCTCTAATTCGAACTCAGCATAAGCTGTATCTGGATGCATTAGGGCAGCGTGTGAATAACTGTAATTTCTTCTGCTCTTTCGAGCCACAAGGCCCCTCCCCATCTCTCACTCCCACTTCTGTCATCTTGCAGAAGAAGTGGGGAAAGTCATTAGGCACAGAAAGGGGAGGAGAGAGCAAGTGGTTGCTATAGCCATGAAAGTCAGAGAAGAGCTCCACGCCACAGAGAGCTGGTGAGAGGACACCACCAGGGAGTATCTGCATAGGGAGGACAATACATTTCCAGCTTATTAAGCTGAATAAACAAATGGCTGACTGTTGGAGATGCTAGGTGTCATGAATGAGGGCTGAAAGACTTTGGAAAGTAGGTCTATGATGGCTTTTTTTATTGATCTCAATGTGCCTGCTGATTTCTGCTGATGAAAAAATTGAAGCAAATGTCTCTTTTTTTATGTTCATGTGATGTTGCATTGTTCCAAAGAATCAAAAACTGATCCCTTCTTTATTTGTTTGTATAAAAGGATCAATAAATCCGGATGGGCATCGGTGGAGCTTTGATGAGATTAACTTAAAGATGACAACAACCATCTGGAGCACAGGCATCATTTCTCATCGACACAAAGTTTTGAGGAAAAACTGAGAACGATGGGCAATGCGTTGCGAGGAGTAATCGCCTTCATTCCCTCTGAACGCTGCCAGCGCTACTTGGTGGGAGACCTGAAGGAGATGCCGCTGGACCGAACCCTGGATCTGAGCGGCCATCAGCTGCGGAGGCTTCCTGTCACCGTCTGCGTCTTTGATGAGTTGGTGAAGCTTTACCTGAGTGACAACAACCTCAGCACCCTGCCTGACGAACTGCAAGGCCTGAGGAATCTGCAGCTTCTTGCGCTGGACTTTAACTGCTTTGAGGAGCTCCCTGCAGCCATTTGTAGATTGCACCAACTCACTATCCTCTACCTGGGCAACAACAGGCTGCATCGCCTTCCCAGAGAACTAAGAGAGCTCAAGGAACTTAACACTCTGTGGTTGGAGACTAACTGCTTCACCGATTTTCCCAAGGTAGTTTGTGAACTTACAAATCTCAAGACGCTGCACTTTGGTTACAATCAAATACGCAGCTTGCCAAAAGACCTGAGGCGACTGGAGGAACTAAAAAGTATCTGGCTTGCTGGGAACATCCTGACAGAGTTCCCTCCAGAGTTGCTTGAAATGCACTCCCTGGCTGTTGTCGATGTGGATAGGAATAAAATACGACAATTTCCGAACCTGTCTCACATGCAGGGTCTGAAACTTGTCATTTATGACCACAACCCCTGTGTTAATGCCCCTACAGTGGGAGAGGGCGTCAGAAGGGTGGGCCGCTGGGCTGACAATTCAGATGACGAACAGCAAGGTGAGGGGGCCAAAACACAGAGTGAGGACACAACTGAGATAGTAGAGGTTTCCTCAGAGGAGAAGCAAAAACAATTTAAGGCGTGAAAACCAGGCAACTTAAGTAGCGGTGTGTCGTGAGAAGCATGCTTCTGCTGCTTGGCCAATATGTAGTGAGGGCGATTGCCTCAGAATAGTCCTAAATGTTACCTGCAAGATAATTAATCACAACTTTGGAAGTGGAAAAGTTTTGCGTGCCTTAAAATATTAGGATCAATGGAGAAACACACACTCACTGCCTGGTTTATTGGTAACTACTTCTGTCTTCAGAGCTGCCTTAATTCTTCCTTTCATATATTTAACAATGTGTCTGAAACATTCCTCAAAGATGTTGGTCAATGTTGACATGACATGCATCATGAAGTAAATTCCTCACTCTACACATCTGAAATGTACTCTTGTGGATCCAGATCTGGAAGACATTGAAGTACAAGGGACTTGTTGCATCATGAAAGAAATGTGTTGAGATGCTTTGAGTATTTTGACATGGTGCAACATCAAAATTATCTAAGTCTTTTTTTTCTTTTTTTTTTTTTTTTTTTTTGTTTTTTGCCAAAAGGAATTTTGAAAAAAAAAATCAACACCTCTTTTTTCCAAAAGCTTTTTAAAGCAAAAACAAACAAACAAGCAAAAAACATAGGACGCTGGCGATTACCTTTCTGAGCTTCAGCAAGTTGTCTTCACCAAATTTAATTTGGTTAATTGTGTTAACAAGCAATTAAAACTATGTATCTAATAAAGTGGCTGGTGAGTACACATTGTTAATAATTCCAACAAATTAAATGATTTTAGTGAGGAGGTTTGACTTCTTTTATTTCAAAGTGGAAGACAGTATTTCAAATTGTTTTAACGGTACTTATAACTGCAAGTTTGTAGTTTTTCTTGCAACATTGTCTGTGTTTGCAGGGCAGCAATACATCTTTTTCTATTAATCTAACTATGCATGTTGCTGTGCCATCTACTAGCTGAAAATCCAATCAGAGTAATATTATCTCAACTTGTTTTGTGAAGGGGTTTAACTCAAAGATAGGAAGCAAATAAAAATGAGTTTTGGTTCTAAAATAACTTCTGTACCTGCTGAGACTAAAAAAAGTACAAGTGATGGATAGTCTGAATCTTAGACTGCACTCATTATCCAGGCGAATGCATAATTCATTTGATAAATTAGGACTGTGGTTTGGAATAAAGGCCACTAATGGGGCTTAATATCATCACCCAAAGCTTTGGGTTTTGAAAAGCCAATAAATACATGTTTGTATTTCCTCAGAGTGCCAGGAAATGTTGTCTAAGTGGAAATAAATGCCCCTCTGCACAATAGGATTTAATGTGTTTCAGACTTGCCTTTAATGAAGCACACAAAAAGACATTAAAAGGGCTACAAATCCTTCCTTAATCCAGGAACATAACCATCTAAATTTTAGGACTTCTGTAATTCAACTGTTTTTCTCAATTATGTACAAACTTGCAAAATATTTTCTTCTTTCGGCATGCGTTTTATTTGCAAACAAGATTTTAGCATGTGGCTGTATCATTGCTGAAGGAAATAAAATACACATTCTTTGCACTATTATGGTGTAGTTATATTGCTATCAAGACCGACAGGCTGTTTGAAATGATTATTTTTCAACTTGATTCATATTTGCAAACTCTTTATCTCTATGTAAATAAAAAAATGTCAACTTTATCTTTATCTCTATCTATCTATCTATCTATCTATCTATCTATCTATCTATCTATCTATCTATCTATCTATCTATCTATCTATCTATCTATCTATCTATATATCTATATATATATATATATATATATATATATATATATATATATATATAGATATATATAAATGAAGCCTAAAAGAAAAATGTAAAATAAACAAAGAGACGGTTAATCTTTACACAAAGATGAGGTCACAGGCATATCTGTATTTATTTTATTTGTTCAAACACATTAATAACATCCGATCACATTTGGAAAGATCCAACATATCTGCAAATATCTTTGGTACAAAATCTTACTTCCAAAACCACAACTCAGAGTAACCATAAGGATGAAACCCAAAGTTTCCCTGACTAACAGGATAAATACTTGAAGGCTTAGCCAGGCAATCCCTGCATCGCATTCAGCAAGTGCATCAACTTCAAAACTGTAACTTCACTTTTCCCTTTTGTACTACGGTCTAATATTAAATATGCACATAACAATAAACACACAATAAACAAACATGATTTAAAATGGTCTGAGAGTGTTGGTGATAAAAACCAAGTGGCACTTTTGCAAAGACATGCAACAGGAATGAAGACCAGCAGCAGCTAAAGCTTCATTCAACTCACCAATTACACTGAGACAGAACTCTGCTTTGTTTTGCAAAACAGAAAAAGTCCCAATTGCTCCCCTCACGCTGGACCAAACCTTTTACAGAAAGTTGGTAACAAGAAAGACGCTTTTTGTTGAGTAAAGTTTCCAAAGCAAAGCTTTGAAAAAGCTCCTGCAAGCAAAAAAAATAAATAAATAAAAATCACATGCACCGAATCATTTTGTCTCAGCCGCATGCCAACAACATTAAACAAAATCTGATTTCTAAAAGCATTTTCAGTTGAACTAAAAAGGAATATTGTGATTTCAGAAAATACAAAGATGAACTAATTGGTCAAAGATTGGAAAAAAGGAAGATTTTTATTGATAACTAGCAGATGAAATACAAAAACTACTAGTTTTCTTTGCTATTACTAAACGCGTCAAGATTTCTATCATTTTAGTCAATATATGCAGCAACTTGCGAGCTTATGCTTTCCACTTCTTTGTGTTTTGTAAAGACATCAGATTAAGATTAAACATTCTTTCATGCACAAGTCTGACTAATTGTGTAATTTCAAGGTACTACCTCTACCAGGGAAACTACAGCACACATTTTTCTCTTCTACGCATTATAATACTTAGAAAACCAAGTTGGTCAAATTCTGAATTGAGCGTTGCAGACTTCAAAGGAAACAGAAATCAGAGTCGGGCAGGAAAAGCCAGATCAGTGCACCTCTGGACAACACTTTATCCAGAGATAAAAAGCAAGCAGGTTTAGTCACTTAAAAGGGAGTGTTGGACAACCAGCCGACATGCCAGGAATGTAACGCCTCCTGAACAGGGCACCTCAAATAACACAAATATGTAAACTGTACCAGTGTTGCAACAAAAAACAAAGACGTAAACAAAGTGAAACAGACGCAAGACCATATAAGATGCAACGCCAACCAAAGCAAGGCGAGTCAAATAGTTTAACTTAATTTTATCTGACTGAAGGTTTGCTTTTGTCTACATCTACATTTCTGCATTCAAAGTGCTAAAGAGGATATGCAACATTACAGTTATTTTATGGTTTAGAGACTCATCCAAGGTCCAGGTCTGTGGCGAACGGCTGTCTCCCCAGTCTGAGACTGGAGGCTGCCATTCAAGTCGTTTGACCCATCGGTTTCCACAGGTCCCTCGGAATCACGAGACTCTTCTTGCTGTGTTTGAGTAGCTTCAGCCCCAGAGACTTCTGGGACTACAGAGGGCCTCTCTGGGGAAGACTCTGATACGACGCCATTTCCCTGGAAATCACACGCCCCACTTATCGAGCCAATCACGGTAGGAGTGTTAAGCTCTTTCTGGGAGTTTTCCCTTTCCATGCGCTTCCGAGCTTCCTCCCTCCGCCTCTGGATCCGGGTGTTGTCTCCCATCATGACCCTGACTCTGACCTGGTCTGGAGGCCAGAGACCGCCCCACATGAACTGCAGGTATCCAAACAGCGCAATGACGCTGAGGAAGGCAAAGTTGGTGGCCACTCCGATCACTGCCGATGTCAGGGGGAAGTTATACAAAAGGTACCGTATACCAGTGAAGTAGGCGTGGATGCGGAGCTGCGCTGAGTAGATCTGAACCTGTCTGGAGTGGATCTCAATGACTGCACCCACAGTGGGTTGATAGGCATTTGTCTTGTAATCCGGGTAGAGCTCCACTTCTATGAGCTGCTTCTGCTCGGCCATCCCAGTCAGGAGGAGAGGAGAGAAGAATAAAGTGCTCAGGGTTTGCAGGAGGCTGGAGCGGTAATGCAGCATCGTTGATCGTCCCACTGACGAGACAGTAGTCCCGCCTTTGGTGTAACAGGACATCTTGATCATGAACATCCCCAGCTGTTGGTTCACTGGAGACTCCGGCATCTCCAACTCAATAGACACCCTGTAAGGCTGGCCATTGGCCATCACCTGGCCCTTGTCATTCTTCATGAAGGATATGTTGGCTGTGGGGAAGGAGCACAGACCCGACTCTGCAGCATCACAATCAGTGGTGTAGTAGAAGTGCACAGGGGTGGAGAAGCTCACAGTGGGCATGTAGGAGTAGTAGAAGCTCCCGTAGAGAAATATGGACACCCACAGCAGCAGACACAGGGTGCAGAAGAGGATGGCGGCCTGAAATAGCGTCCTTCGGGCTTTGTGGAAAGTCACAGCTGCCACATCCTGGAGCCAGTGCAGAAGGGGCCCCATCGCTCCCCCCATCGCGTCTGATGGGGAGCTCTTGGTTTGCACTGCCGATGCTCTTCGGAGCCCCGCGGGTTGCTGCCTCTGTGGTGGATCGCTATGTTCTTGCATTAGTCGGTGGCTCCGATCCGAAACTGTAAAATCGCGTACCTTGACATCCCATGCCGACTTTGTCTAACGAGCTTCATCCTCAGAGTCCGACTGCTAACAATCTGTACACGTCGATGATGCACATGGCGACAGGAGACACCAGTTTGTCGTCGAACACGGTCATATTTGGATGCATTTCCAAAGCGGACGCTTTCCACTGCTGTTAGCCGCACTAGCTACGTAGCTTCCGATGCAGTCATACGAAAGTGACTCCGCGACCCGGACGTTGACGCATCTCGAGCGGATGTACTTCTTCCTTTGTGTCGGCCTCGATTTGACGCCGTTCAGCTTCTACGGTCGACGCCAAAGAAGCAGTCCCGTTCAATAGACACGTTAATGGGGAAGAAAAGCCGCATCACAGGAGGAGCCGTGGGTCGAAGGACGATCCTGCAACTTTCTCCACCTGGACATCGCGGCGGAAATACCGGAGAGAGAGAAGAGGCGCCGTCGGGATCTGATGGTAATTTTCCTAGCGCGTTAGCTGGGGAAACCAAACTCAAGGCGAAAAGAACGAAGCCTTTCAATTAAAACACAAAATTACTAAAACCCGATGTACTTATGTTGCCAACCAACATTTGATGTCACGTAGCACGTTTCGTTCTGCATTAAAACGTCTAATTCTAGGGATTTATTTGCACAGCTAGCATGCTAAGCTAAGGTTAGCGGCTAACCTAAGTGTGCTGGTTCACGTTCATTGGTAGGCCATTGGTGAATATGTCAATCTCAGGGAGCCCAGATTTAAGAAAACAACATAATACCGACAGGTTGCTGTAGATTTTTAACGGAGCAAAGCAGACTAAGTTGTAGATGCTGTTTTATTGATTAGCCGTTAGCTAGCCAGTCTGCTAACGTGGTTTACTGTGTGC